CCTCGGCCGGGACGGCCAGGCCCGCGCCAGCGCCGATGCCCGCCCCGGCATCGTTCTTGCCCAGGCTACACGCCGCAAACAACGCCAAACTTATCCCGAGCTGGAGCGGGCGCGCCGCTGCCGCTTGGTGGTGTTCGGGATGGAAGTAGGCGGCAGGTGGGCTCCCGAAGCCGCCACCTTCATCCGCTTGCTGGCGAGACCGCGCGCAGCGGAGGTGCCTGCCTCTCTCCGGACTGCTGCCCGGGCAGCGTGGGTCGTGAGATGGAGCGGCATCCTCGCTGTTGCAGCGCAGCGAGTCTTCGCAGCATCCCTCCTCGAGCTGCCTCCAGGTGGGGAGTGTAGTGCTGGCGGGCCGGAGCCCCTGCACGAGCTCCTCGCCGACGCACGCTGGCAGGCGACTCCCGCCCACAGCCGCCTCCCCATGCGTGCTGTCTGAGGCCGAGGCGATTCCCGCAGCTGTCTGAGGCCGAAGCGCCGTGCACAGGGACCCGCATGGATGTTGCGGAAAAAGGCCCGATAAAAAAAAAAAAAAAGAGATCTTGGCGAACTTTCGCGAGGCCAGACGAGCGCTCGACCAGGCTCGGGGCTTCTACCCGGTTCGCAATCAGAGCGCCTCTCGGTATGATGGGCGTGGATATGGCTCGGGCAAGGGCTGCGGTGGCAAGCACGGTGGCATAAGCCAAGGCGATGCAGATAAGATGTGTATGAGATGTGGCAAGGAGGGTCGCATTGCCCGGAATTGCCCCCAGAGGCCTGGCTATGGCAAGGGCCGAGGTGGCAACAGAGCGTGAACTTCGTGGGCTTTGCTCACGAGGAGCTGGTTTTCGAGAGGCCTCGGGTGAAGAGGGCCTTGACATGGTCTACGAGGAGACTGAGGGTGCAGTCCATGTGGTGTGTAGTGTGACGGAGAGCAGCACACACCGCATCTTGGAGACCAACGGTAAGGACATGAGCTACGTTGCCAAGGCCCAGCGGCGCTTCGGAGAACATTGTGGGTGAAGACACGCTGCAAGAACTAGCAGAATGCCTGCGAGAACTGGACTTCGACCCAGAAGCCGAGATTGAGGTGGATCGCAACATCCACAAGCAGTTCACCTACGGCAACAACTTGACGAGCTCGGGACTGGGTTTGTCACATGTGAACGCAGGCGTGTGCGGCTAGCAGGTGGAGGTGCGGGCGCACATGGTGGAAGGCGTCACCCCCTTTTTGCTGAGTGCAAAGCTTCTGTACGACATGGATGCCACGATCAACTTTAGAAAGGGAATTGCTGTCTTTCGAAAGCTCTCCGACCAACAGTTTCTGTTGGAGCGCAGTTCGAGCAACCATTTGCTGTTGCCGAGACGGCCTTTGCTGGCCGAGCAGATGTTCTTACGAGACTGGGCGTGACTGCGCCTGATGCCGCCGTCAGTTTGAGAGGCAAGCCCGAAGTTGTTTGGGACCCCGAAATTGAACGAAATCTGACATGAGCGCACAGAACCTTGGTCACCCCGACAATGAAGCCTTTCTTAAGCTGCCTCGAAGTGCCGGTGCTCGGCCCGAAGTCCTCAGACAAGCCGAACACTTTGAGTGTGCCGAGTGTAGGCAAAGAGGAAGACGAGCTCACCTAGGCCTGCGACCCTTCCCCATTACACACAGAAGTGGCAGTGTCTGAGCATTGATGCCTTTTGGTGGCACACTCCGCGCGAAGCTCTTCAAAGGGGCCACAGGCCTGAACATCTCTTGTGCCTGAGCATGCTAGATGAGGCTTCCGACCTTCATGCTGTTCATGTTGTGCGCGCTAGTAAGGACGGACCTCAAAGACGCATGTCTGGCCCTGAATTCCGGCAAAGCTTCTCACAGGGCTGGCTTGAACAGTTTCCCATAGTTTCCCGCTCCTCAAGTGACGAAGAGGGCTTCCTTAAGCGGTTGGATGCTGTTGAATGGCTTGAAGCTCTGGCAATTCGTTGGAGCCAGTTGCTGGAGAGAGTCCATGGCAGGTGGGAAAATATTCTAAACATATACGCTGAAAGAAAGTATGAACTTGCTCGCCAGGGAGTTCGAGAACAGTTTACATCATGATGAGCTTCTCGGCTTGTCGGTGAGTGCGAAAAACAACATGCACAACGTGCGAGGCTACAGTCCTAATCAGTGGGCTTTTGGCCAAAGTAGCCATAGAATTTCGTCCTTTCTTTCTTCCGAAGAAAACACACCCACTGAGAGCACCCGTGAATATGAAACTTTTGAAGAAGCCCCGAAAGCATTTTTCTCGAAATCGATGCACGACGTAGGGTTCAGCGAGCGCTTCGCGCACAGGCCGACCCTTGAGGGAGTTTGGAACGGGCACGCTTGTGTACTACTACCGTTGTGGTCGTAGGGCATTGGTATGGGCCGGCGAGGGTTCTGTGTCATAAAAAGACAGGGGGTCCCGAATTCGACTCAAGGCCTGGGTGGAGCGTGTGGATTCGTCACGCGGGTCGATTGCTTAGGTGTAGTCCGGAGCAGATTCGGAAGTGAAGATTAAGACGCCTCGACTAATACCTTGAAGGTCTGCGGACTTTTCATGACATACTGTAACATGTCGTGAATCAGCAACGATATCTGGACTCTAGACATCACACTGGAGCAAGATTTAAGGGATGAAGAAGCCGAGCAGCTAGGAGAAGAAGTGGTGCCAAAGCATCGCTTGCGAGGGAGGCAGATCCGAATCAGCTGTCCCCGCTCAAGAAAGCAACGAGCCGACTCGACACCCCGAACGACCATGGCCACAGTCGACCTCCAAGCCCTGTACCGCGAGATCTACCCGACCGGGCCCTCACCGAAGGGCAGATCGAGACCGAGCTCGACCGTATCCGCAACCTGAACGACACCGAAGCGAGCGAGTTCAAGATCAGAGTCGGAAAGTACACAGGGAAGACGTTCGAGACCTTGTGCAGCGACCAGGCCTACATGAAGTGGCTGATAGAGCACAACGCCGGCGACAGAGAGCGCCGAATCGTACATGCATTACACAGCAATGATGTCATCGCACTGTCCGGCACCCGTCCGCCAGATGGCGACATCGCAGTCAGTCAGCGTAGAGTCGAAAAGCATGCTGTGTATAGTTGGGGATACGGAAAAGGGAGGCTCACCCACTCTCATGCTTCGGAGCTGATAACGACAGATCTCGTCCCCGCCCAGCGAGTTGCAAGGTCGTGGTGGGGCACTGCGGGTCAAACGACGTGACTCCGACTTTGCATTCATCGTGTGCTACTTCCATCCCAACTCCAATCTGCTGTATTCGAAACGCGTCAACACTGCACTTTGGAAATGGGTTGACAGTGTTGTCAGTGCTCTGCCGGCGCGATGTGTGCCCTGCTTGCTTGGCCACTTCAACGCACGTGTTGGTAAGGAACATGTGGCGAACAACATATGGACGACCACACAAGATGAGTCCATCGGCTATCATGCTCACATAAGTTATCACGAAGCTCTGGCAGGACGCCGATGGCTATTTGATGGCATGACATGGAAGTCTGGCCCTTGGATGTATGTACTTTTCTGCAGTCATCAGGATTGGCGGATTGGCATACCATTTGTCATTATGACCTTCTCGCCTTCATGTCTCGACAAAGAATATGGTCATTTCAGGATGGAATTGTGACACTATCATGCCTGGAGCACAGATGGTTGATTGCCGGTATCTCTCAGTACATGTGCTATCAGTCCATGAGCACACCAGAGCATTCCTGTTCCTTGCTGGCAGTGGTATACATCAGGCATCTGAAGCCCCTTGCCTTTCTGCCCGACTACATTATGCTCTCGCCGATACGGCTCAAGGACATTTACCAGGACACTTGGGCTGCCATGGAGACGATGGAGGACTTTCCACTAGGCCGAGAACCCTCTTCAGCTGTGGAGTTATGGTTTCGTCATGCTTCCCAGCCATTCGACACACCCAGGCCTTTGCTGCTGCAGCACGGGAATCCACCGACTACATGCCACAGCATCAAACACCGGACGCAGCCACTACTGGCCCTCGTACCAGATCGAGATCCCCGCTGCCGTCAACCAGACCCAGGAACAGGCAGATCTACCACAGTATGGATGACATCAAACCCAAACCCTGATGAGTATAGCCGAGCCGGGATGATCTCTGCCATGCACCGTCTCTCACATGTCTTAGGGACGGAAATGACAGTACTGCTGGGTCTAAAACACTTTGTCGATTGCTCCTACCAAGGCACGCTGTGCCCATGGATGCTCCTGATTGCTCTCATGATGTCCACTATACTCTCCATTTTGACTTCTTGTGCTGCCACGCCTTCTTCTCTTCTGCTTTGGACCAAGGTCGCTTATCTGTTGAGATGGAGCACAGGCTGCATGTGCCTCATGAGCCTTGGAATTCTGGTAATGCTGCGGAGCTTCATGCTGCGACCAGACTCTTCGCAGGCTAGCGCGGCTCACATCATACGGAGATACTACAGTGGAGGATATCATCTTATTCGATCGCACACCATCATACAGACTGGCCGTATTGCTGCTCAATGGATCTCGCCTGCGCCTATTTAACTTTGCACTCAATGCTAGTGTCGCCTTTGCTGAACGCTGCCTCTGGTTCGCCATGTAGGTTCAGTTGGTTGTACATGCTCACATGAGCCGATGCCACAGTGGATTGTAGCGTAGCGCGAGACAGATGGTCTGTTTGCGTCATTCACAGTACAAAGTGCAAGGAAATTCCCTTCAAGGTGTCCGTGGGCCCTGTCGTTCTGTTGCAACATCTTGACATGGAAATTCCCTTCAAGGTGCCCGCGGGTTCTGTCGTTGCAACATCTTGGCATGAAAATTCTCTTGAAGGTGTCCTTGGGCTCTGTGGCTCTGTTGCAACATCTTGACATGGAAATTCCCTTCAAGGTTTCCGTGGGCTTTGTAGTTCTGTTGCGACATCTTGACATGGAAATTCCTTTCAAGGTGGCAAGATCTGGACATGGAAATTCTCTCCAACGTGTCCGTGGGCTCTGTGGTTCTGTTGTAGCATCTTGACATGCAAGTGCCCTTCAAGGTGTCAGTGGGCTTTGTGGTTCTGTTGCAACATCTTCACATGGAATTTCTCTGCAAGGTGTCCTTGGGCTCTGTCATTCTGTTGCAACATCTTGACATGGAACTTCCCTTCAAGGTGTCCGTGGGCTCTGTGGTCCTGTCGCAAGATCTTGACATGGAACTTCCCTTCAAGGTGTCCGTGGGCTCTGTGGTTCTGTTGCAGCAACATCTAGACATGGAACTTCCCTTCAAGGTGTCCGTGGGCTCCGTCGTTCTGTTTCAACATCTTGACATGGAAGTTCTCTTCAAGGTGTCCTTGGGCTCTGTCGTTGTGTTCCAACATCTTGACATGAAAATTCCCTTCAAGGTGTCTGTGGGCTTTGTAGTTCTGTGGCGGCATTTTGACATGGAAATTCCCTTCAAGGTGGCGTCAGTGGGCTTTGCGGTGCTTGTGCAACATCTTCACATGGAATTTCTCTGCAAGGTGTTCTTGGGCCCTGTCGTTCTGTTGCAACATCTTGACATGCATTTTCCCTTCAATGTGTCCGTGGGCTCCGTCGTTCTGTTGCGACATTTGACATGGAAATTCTCTTGAAGGTGTCCTTGGGCTCTGTCGTTCTGTTGCAACATCGTGACGTGGACATTTCCTTCAAGGTGTCCTTGAAGGTGTCCGTGGGCTCTGTGCTGTTGCAACATCTTGACATGGAAATTCCCTTCAAGTTGTCCGTGGGCTCTGTCGTTCTGTTGCAACATCTTGACATGGAAATTCCCTTCAAGGTGTCCGTGGGCTTTGTGGTTCTGTTGCAACATCTTGACATGAAAGTCCCCTCAAGGTTTCTTGGGGTCTTCTTCGTGGATTTGCAACATCTCGACATGGAAATTCCCTTCAAGGCTTCCTTTAGTTCTGTTGCAAAATCTTGACATGGAAATTTCCTTGAAGGTGTCAGTGGGCTTTGTGGTTCTGTTGCAACATCTTGACATGGAATTTCTCTGCAAGGTGTCCGTGGGCTCTGTGGTTCTGTTGAAAAACATCTTGACATGGAACTTCTCTTCAAAGTGTCAGTGGGCTCTGTGGTTCTGTTGCAGCATGTTGACATGGTTATTCCCTTCGAGGTGTCGGTGGGCTCTGTCGCTCTGTTGTAACATGCTGACATGGAAATTCCCTTCAAGGTTTCGTTGGGCTCTGTGGCTTTGTTGCAACATCTTTACACGCAAATTCCCTTCAAGGTGTCCTTGGGCTCTGTCGTTCTGTTGCAATATCTTGACATGGAAATCCCCTTCAAGGTGTCCGTGGGCTTTGTGGTACTTTTGCAACCTCTTCGCATGGAATTTCTTTGCAAGGTGTCCGTGGACTCCGTTGTTCTGTTGCAACATCTTGACATGGAACTTCCCTACAAGGTTTCGTTGGGCTCCATCAATCTGTTGCAACATGTTGACATGGAAATTCCCTTCAAGGTGTCCGTGGTCTTTGTGGTTCTGTCGCAACCTCTTGACATGGAGATTCTCTTCAAGGTGTCCTTGGGCTTTGTTGCAGCATCTTGATATGGAAATTCCTTCAAGGTGTCCTTGCGCTCTGTGGTTCTGTTGCAACATCTTGACATGGAAATTCCCTTCAAGGTGTCCTTGGGCTCTGTCGAGGGTTCCTTGGATCTATTTCGTTCTTTTGCGACATCTTGACACGGAAGTTCTTTCAAGGGTTTGTTTGGCTCCGTGGTTTTTTTGCAACGGCTTGACATGGAAATTCCCTTCAAGGTGTCCGTTGGGTCTGTGGTTCTGTTGCAAGATCTTGACACGGAAATTCTCTTGAAGGTGTCCTTGGGCTCTGTCGTTCTGTTGCGATATCTTGGCATGGAAGTTTCCTTCAGGGTGTCCTTGGGCTCTGTTGTTCTGTTACAATATCTTGACATGGAAACTCCCATCAAGGTGTCAGTGGCTTTGTGGTGCTCTTCAACATCTTGACATGGATTTTCTCTGCAAGGTGTCCGTGGGCTCGGTGGTCCTTTTGCAACATCTTGACATGGAAATTCTCTTCAAGGTGTCCGTCGGCTCTGTGGTTCTGTTGCAACATCTTGAGGAGCCCAACAAAACCTTGAAAGGATTTCCGTGTCAAGATGTTGTAAAGAACGAAAAACATCCGAGGAACCCTTGAAGGAATATCCATGTCAAGATGTTGCAACAGAACGGCAGAGCCCACGGACATCTTGAAGGGAAATTGCATGTCAAGATGTTGCCACAGAACGACAGAGGCCAAGGACACCTTGAAGGCAGTTTCCAGGGCAAGATGTTGCAACAAAACCACAGAGCCCACTGACACCTTCAAGGCAATTTCCATGTCAAGCTGTTGCAGCAGAACCACAGAGCCCCCCGACACCTTGAAGGGAATTCCATGTCAAGATGTTGCAACAAAACCACAGAGCCCACGGGCACCTTGAAGGGAATTTCCATGTCAAGATGCTGCAACAGAACCACGGAGCCCACGGACACGTTGAAGAGAATTTCCATGTCAAGATGTTGCAACAGAACAACGGAGTCCACGGACACCTTGCAAAGAAATTCCATGCGAAGAGGTTGCAAAAGTACCACAAAGCCCACGGACACCTTGAAGGGGATTTTCATGTCAAGATCCTGCAACAGAACGACAGAGACCACGGACACCTTGCAGGGAAGTTCCATGTCAAGATGTTGCAACAGAACGCCAGGGGCCCACGGACACCTTGACGGGAGTTTCCATGTCAACATGTTGCAACAGAGCCACACAGCCCAAGGACACCTCGAAGAGAATTTCCATGTCAAGATGCTGCAACAAAGAGAATCTCCATGTCAAGAGGTTGCGACAAAGCCACAAAGCCCACGGACACCTTGAAGGGAATTTCCATGTCAACATGTTGCAACAGAACGACGGAGCCCAACGAAACCTTGTAGGGAATTTCCATGTCAAGATGTTGCAACAGAACCACAGAGCCCGCGGAGACCTTGCAGAGAAATTCCGTGTCAAGAAGTTGCAACAGAACGAAAGGAAGCCTTGAAGGGAATTTCCATGTTGAGATGTTGCAACAGAACGACAGAGCCCACGGACACCTTGAAGGGAATTTCTGTGTCAAGATGTTGCAACAGAACTTGAAGGGAATTTCCATGTCAACATGTTGCAACAGAACCACAGAGCCCAAGGACACCTTGAAGAGAATTTCCATGTCAAGATGTTGCAACAGAACCACAGAGCCCACGGACACCTTGAAGGGAATTTCCATGTCACGATGTTTTTGCAACATCTTGACATGAAAATTCCCTTCAAGGTGTCCGTGGGCTCTGTGGTTCTGTTGCAACATCTTGACATGGAAATTGCTGTCAGGGTGTCCGTGGGCTTTGTGGTTCTGTTGCAGCATCTTCACATGGAAATTCCCTTTAAGGTGTTCGTGGGCTCTGTGGTTCTGTTGCTGCAACATCTTGACATGGAAACTCCCTTCAAGGTGTCCGTGGGCTCTGTTGCAACATCTTGACATGGAAATTCCCTTCAAGGCTTCCTCGGGCTCTGTCGTTCCGTTGCGACATCTTGACATGTAAATTCCCTTCAAGGTGTCCTTGGTCTCTGTCGTTCTGTTGCAGCATCTTGACATGGAAAATTCCCTTCAAGGTGTCCGTGGGCTCTGTGGTTCTGTTGCAACATCTTGACATGGAAATTCCCTTCCAGGTGCCCGTGGGCTCTATGCTTCTGTTCTTGACATGGAAATTCCCTTCAAGGTGCCCGCGGGTTCTGTCGTTCTGTTGCAACATTTTGGCATGGAAATTCCCTTCAAGGTGTCCGTGGGCTCTGTGGTTCTGTTGCGACTTCTTGACATGGAAGTGCCCGTGAAGGTGTCCGTGGGCTCTGTGGTTCTGTTGCAACATCTTGAAATCCCCTTCAAGGTGTCCTTGGGCTGTCTGGTTCTGTTGCAACATCTTGACATGGAAATTCCCGTCAAGGTGTCTTTGGGCTCTGCCGTTCTGTGGCAACATCTTGACATGGATTTTCTATTGAAGGTCTCCGTGGGCTTTGTGCTTCTGTTGCAACAGCTTGACATGGAAATTCCCTTCAACGTGTCCGTGGGCTCTGTCGTTCTGTTGCAACATCTTGACATCGAAATTGCCCTGAAATTCTCTGCAAAGTGTCCGTAGGCTCTGTGGTTCTGTTGCAGCATCTTGACATGGAAATTCCCTTCAAGGTGTCCGTGGGCTCTGTGGTTCGGTTGCAACATCTTGACAGGGAAATTCCCTTCAAGGTGTCCTTGGGCTCTGTCGTTCTGTTGCAACAGCTTGACATGGAAATTCTTAAAGGTGTCCTTGGGCACTGTCGTTCTGTTGCAACATCTTGACATGCAATTTCCCTTCAAGATGTCCGTAGGCTCTGCCGTTCTGTTGCAACATCTTGAGATGGATATTCCCTTCAAGGTGTCCTTGGGCATTGTCGTTCTGTTGCAACATCTTGACATGCAATCTGCCTTCAAGATGTCCGAAGGCTCTGCCGTTCTGTTGCAACAGCTTGACATGGAAATTTCCTTCAAGGCGTCCGTGGGCTCTGTGGTTCTGTTGCAACATCTTGGCATGCAATTTGCCTTCAAGGTGTCCGTGGGCTCTGTAATTCTGTTCCAACATCTTGACATGCAAATTCCCTTCAAGCTGTCCGTGGGCTCTGTCGCTCTGTTGCAACATCTTGACATGGAAATTCCCTTCAAGGCGTCCGTGGGCTCTGTGGTTCTGTTGCAACATCTTGACATGGAAGTTCCCTTGATGGTGTCCTTGGGCTCTGTGGTTGGTTTGCAACATCTTGACATGGAAAGTCTCGTCAGGGTGTCCGTGGGCTCTGTGGTTCTGTTGCAACATCTTGACATGGAAATTCTCTTCAAGGTGTCCTTGGGCTCTGTCGCCTTGTTGCAACATCTCGACATGGAAATTCCTGGTCCGTGGGCTCTGTGGTTCTGCTGCAACATATTGACATGGAAAATCCCTTCAAGGTGTCGTTGAACTCTGCCGTTCTGTTGCAACATCTTGACATGGAAATTCCCTTCAATGTGTCCGTGGGCTCTGTCGTTCTGTTGCACCATCTTGACATGGAAATTCCCTTCAAGGTGTCGTTGGGCTCTGTCGTTCTGTTGCAACATCTTGACATGGAAGCTCCCTTCAAGGTGTCCGTGGGCTCTGTCGCTCTGTTGCAAGATCTTGACATGGAAACTCCCTTCAAGGTGTCCGCGGGCTCTGTCGTTCTGTTGCAACATCTTGACATGGAATTTCCCTTCAAGGTTTCCGTGGGCTTTGTCGCTCTGTTGCAACAGCTTGACAAGGAAATTTTGCAACAGCTTGACATGGAATTTCCCTTGAAGCTGTCCGTGGGCTCTGTGCTTCTGTTGCAACATCTTGACATGGAAATTCCCTTCGTCCGTGGGCTCTGTGGTTCGTTTGCAACATCTTGACATGGAGATTCCCTTCAAGGTGTCCGTGGGCTCTGTCGTTCTGTTGCAACATCTTAACATGGAAATTCCCTTCAAGGCTTCCTTTCGTTTTGTTGCAACATCTTGACATGAAATTCCGTGTCCAAATCAAAAAGTTCCAGCAAACCGGCTCGTTTAAAAGTTCCAGCAAGCCAGCTCGTTTCACCATCAAAAAGTTCCAGCAAACCAGCTCGTTTCCCCATCAAAAAGTTCCAGCAAACCAGCTCGTTTCCCCATCAAAAAGTTCCAGCAAACCAGCTCGTTTCCCCGTCAAAAAGTTCCAGCGAACCAGCTCGTTTCCCCATCAAAAATCTCCAGCAAACCAGCTCGCTTCCCCATCAAGAAGTTCCAGCAAACCAGCTCGCTTCCCCATCAACAAGTTCCAGCAAACCAGCTCGTTTCCCCATCAAAAAGTTCCAGCAAACCAGCTCGTTTCCCCATCAAAAAGTTCCAGCAAACCAGCCCGTTTCCCCATCATAAAAGTTCCAGCAAACCAGCTCGCTTCCCCATCAAAAGTTCCAGCAAACCAGCTCGTTTCCCCATCAAAAAGTTCCAGCAAACCAGCCCGTTTCCCCATCAAAAAGTTCCAGCAAACCAGCTCGTTTCCCCATCAAAAAGTTCCAGCAAACCAGCTCGTTTCCCCATCAAAAAGTTCCAGCAAACCAGCTCGTTTCCCATCAAAAAGTTCCAGCAAACCAGCTCGTTTCCCCATCAAAAAGTTCCAGCAAACCAGCTCGTTTCCCCATCAAAAAGTTCCAGCAAACCAGCTCGTTTCCCCATCAAAAAGTTCCAGCAAACCAGCTCGTTTCCCCATCAAAAAGTTCCAGCAAACCAGCTCGTTTCCCCATCAAAAAGTTCCAGCAAACCAGCTCGTTTCCCCATCAAAAAGTTCCAGCAAACCAGCTCGCTTCCCCATCAAAAAGTTCCAGCAAACCAGCTCGTTTCCCCATCAAAAAGTTCCAGCAAACCAGCTCGTTTCCCCATCAAAAAGTTCCAGCAAACCAGCCGTTTCCCCATCAAAAAGTTCCAGCAAACCAGCTCGCTTCCCCATCAAAAAGTTCCAGCAAACCAGCTCGTTTCCCCATCAAAAAGTTCCAGCAAACCAGCCCGTTTCCCCATCAAAAAGTTCCAGCAAACCAGCCCGTTTCCCCATCAAAAAGTTCCAGCAAACCAGCTCGCTTCCCCATCAAAAACTCCAGCAAACCAGCTCGTTTCCCCATCAAAAAGCTCCAGCAAACCAGCTCGCTTCCCCATCAAAAAGTTCCAGCAAACCAGCTCGTTTCACCATCAAAAAGTTCCAGCAAACCAGCTCGTTTCACCATCAAAAAGTTCCAGCAAACCAGCTCGTTTCACCATCAAAAAGTTCCAGCAAACCAGCTCGTTTCCCCATCAAAAAGTTCCAGCAAACCAGCTCGTTTCCCCATCAAAAAGTGCCAGCAAACCAGCTCGTTTCCCCATCAAAAAGTTACAGCAAACCAGCTCGTTTCCCCATCAAAAAGTTCCAGCAAACCAGCTCGTTTCCCCATCAAAAAGTTCCAGCAAACCAGCGCGTTTCCCCATCAAAAAGTTCCAGCAAACCAGCTCGTTTCCCCATCAAAAAGTTCCAGCAAACCAGCTCGTTTCCCCATCAAAAAGTTCCAGCAAACCAGCTCGTTTCCCCATCAAAAAGTTCCAGCAAACCAGCTCGTTTCCCCATCAAAAAGTTCCAGCAAACCAGCTCGTTTCCCCATCAAAAAGTTCCAGCAAACCAGCTCGTTTCCCCATCAAAAAGTTCCAGCAAACCAGCTCGTTTCCCCATCAAAAAGTTCCACAAACCAGCTAGTTTCCCCATCCAAAAGTTCCAGCAAACCAGCTCGCTTCCCCTTCCAGCAAACCAGCTCGTCTCCCCATCAAAAAGTTCCAGCAAACCAGCTCGTTTCCCCATCAAAAAGTTCCAGCAAACCAGCTCGTTTCCCCATCAAAAAGTTCCAGCAAACCAGCTCGTTTCCCCAGCAAAAAGCTCGTTTCCCCAGCAAACCAGCTCGTTTCCCCATCAAAAAATTCCAGCAAACCAGCTCGTTTCCCCATCGAAAAGTTCCAGCAAACCAGCTCGTTTCCCCATCAAAAAGTTCCAGCAAACCAGCTCGTTTCCCCATCAAAAAGTTCCAGCAAACCAGCTCGTTTCCCCAGCAAAAAGTTCCAGCAAACCAGCGGAAACGAGCTGGTTTGCTGGAACTTTTTGACGGGGAAGCGAGCTGGTTTGCTGGATCTTTTTGATGGGGAAACGAGCTGGTTTGCTGGAACTTTTTGATGGGGAAACGAGCTGGTTTGCTGGAACTTTTTGATGGGGAAACGAGCTGGTTTGCTGGAACTTTTGATGGGGAAACGAGCTGGTTTGCTGGAACTTTTTTGATGGGGAAACGAGCTGGTTTGCTGGAACTTTTTGATGAGGAGACGAGCTGGTTTGCTGGAACTTTTTGATGGTGAAGCGAGCTGGTTTGCTGGAACTTTTTGATGGGGAAACGAGCTGGTTTGCTGGAACTTTTTGATGGGGAAACGAGCTGGTTTGCTGGAATTTTTTCGATGGGGAGACGAGCTGGTTTGCTGGAACTTTTTGATGGGGAAACGGGCTGGTTATGGATTTTTGATGGGGAAACGAGCTGGTTTGCTGGAACTTTTTGATGGGGAAACGGGCTGGTTTGCTGGAATTTTTGATGGAGAAACGAGCTGGTTTGCTGGAACTTTTGATGGGGAAACGAGCTGGTTTGCTGGAACTTTTTGATGGGGAAACGAGCTGGTTTGCTGGAAGTTTTTGATGGGGAAACGGGCTGGTTTGCTGGAATTTTTGATGGGAAAACGAGCTGGTTTGCTGGAACTTTTGATGGGGAAACGAGCTGGTTTGCTGGAACTTTTTGATGGGGAAACGAGCTGGTTTGCTGGAACTTTTTGATGGGGAAACGAGCTGGTTTGCTGGAACTTTTTGATGGTGAAACGAGCTGGTTTGCTGAAACATTTAAACGAGCTGGTTTGCTGAACTTTTTGACGGGGAAACAAGCTGGTTTGCTGGATCTTTTTGATGGTGAAGCGAGCTGGTTTGCTGGAACTTTTTGATGGGGAAACGAGCTGGTTTGCTGGAACTTTTTGATGGGGAAGCGAGCTGGTTTGCTGGAACTTTTTGATGGGGAGACGAGCTGGTTTGCTGGAACTTTTTGATGGGGAAACGAGCTGGTTTGCTGGAACTTTTTGACGGGGAAACGAGCTGGTTTGCTGGAACTTTTTGATGGTGAAACGAGCTGGTTTGCTGAAACATTTAAACAAGCTGGTTTGCTGGAGTTTTTTGATGGGGAAACGAGCTGGTTTGCTGGAACTTTTTGATGGGGAAACGAGCTGGTTTGCTGGAACTTTTGATGGGAAACGATTCCAAACGTTGGACAGGCAAAATAATCCTGCGCTGGGGCACGAGATCAAGGCAGCACAAAGACGACGCGAAGAACGAATAGCAGCAACATAGGAGATATCAGCTCTCACACGGAAGTCCTGTCTGATCACTATCCTCTCTGTCACCAGCCCTAAACCAGCGGGAACCCAACTTGACGCGGGCACGTTTGATCCGAGCGCGTTTGGTCCAAGACAGTTTCCAGCGCCCGTCTAAGCCGATTCTCGTACGAATCAAGCAAGGGAGCCAAGAACGTACGTGGGGCCGTGCGTGCTAAGAATTGAAGCTGACAATGTCCACAACGCTGCAGCAGCAATGGAAAAGCCACATGCTTGAGCTGGTTTGCTGGAACTTTTTGATGGGGAAACGAGCTGGTTTGCTGGAACTTTTTGATGGGGAAACGAGCTGGTTTGCTGGAACTTTTTGATGCGGAAACGAGCTGGTTTGCTGGAACTTTTTGATGGGGAAACGAGCTGGTTTGCTGGAACTTTTTGATGGTGAAACGAGCTGGTTTGCTGAAACTTTTAAACGAGCTGGTTTGCTGAACTTTTTGACGGGGAAACAAGCTGGTTTGCTGGATCTTTTTGATGGTGAAGCGAGCTGGTTTGCTGGAACTTTTTGATGGGGAAACGAGCTGGTTTGCTGGAACTTTTTGATGGGGAAGCGAGCTGGTTTGCTGGAACTTTTTGATGGGGAGACGAGCTGGTTTGCTGGAACTTTTTGATGGGGAAACGAGCTGGTTTGCTGGAACTTTTTGACGGGGAAACGAGCTGGTTTGCTGGAATTTTTTGATGGGGAGACGAGCTGGTTTGCTGGAACTTTTTGATGGGGAAACGGGCTGGTTTGCTGGAACTTTTTGATGGGGAAACGAGCTGGTTTGCTGGAACTTTTTGATGGGGAAACGAGCTGGTTTGCTGGAACTTTTTGATGGGGAAACGAGCTGGTTTGCTGACACTTTTTGATGGGGAAACGAGCTGGTTTGCTGGAACTTTTTGATGGGGAAACGAGCTGGTTTGCCGGAACTTTTTGATGGGGAAGCGAGCTGGTTTGCTGGAACTTTTTGATGGGGAAACGAGCTGGTTTGCTGGAACTTTTTGATGGGGAACCGAGCTGGTTTGCTGGAACTTTTTGATGGGGAAACGAGCTGGTTTGCTGGAACTTTTGATGGGAAACGATTCCAAACGTTGGACAGGCAAAATAATCCTGCGCTGGGGCACAAGATCAAGGCAGCACAAAGACGACGCGAAGAACGAATAGCAGCAACATAGGAGATATCAGCTCTCACACGGAAGTCCTGTCTGATCACTATCCTCTCTGTCACCAGCCCTAAACCAGCGGGAACCCAACTTGACGCGGGCACGTTTGATCCGAGCGCGTTTGGTCCAAGACAGTTTCCAGCGCCCGTCTAAGCCGATTCTCGTACCAATCAAGCAAGGGAGCCAAGAACGTACGTGGGGCCGTGCGTGCTAAGAATTGAAGCTGACAATGTCCACAACGCTGCAGCAGCAATGGAAAAGCCACATGCTTGAGCTGGTTTGCTGGAACTTTTTGATGGGGAAACGAGCTGGTTTGCTGGAACTTTTTGATGGGGAAACGAGCTGGTTTGCTGGAATTTTTTGATGGGGAAATGAGCTGGTTTGCTGGAACTTTTTGATGGGGAAACGAGCTGGTTTGCTGGAACTTTTTGATGGTGAAACGAGCTGGTTTGCTGAACTTTTTGACGGGGAAACAAGCTGGTTTGCTGGATCTTTTTGATGGTGAAGCGAGCTGGTTTGCTGGAACTTTTTGATGGGGAAACGAGCTGGTTTGCTGGAACTTTTTGATGGGGAAGCGAGCTGGTTTGTTGGAACTTTTTGTTTGGGAAACGAGCTGGTTGGCTGGAACTTTTTGATGGGGAAACGAGCTGGTTTGCTGGAACTTTTTGATGGGGAAACAAGCTGGTTTGCTGGAACTTTTGATGGGGAAACGAGCTGGTTTGCTGGAACTTTTTGATGGTGAAACGAGCTGGTTTGTTGGAACTTTTTGATGGGGAAACGAGCTGGTTTGCTGGAACTTTTTGATGGGGAAACGAGCTGGTTTGCTGGAACTTTTTGATGGGGAGACGAGCTGGTTTGCTGGAACTTTTTGATGGGGAAGCGAGCTGGTTTGCTGGAACTTGTTGATGGGGAAACGAGCTGATTTGCTGGAGCTTTTTGATGGCGAAACGAGCTGGTTTGCTGGAGCTTTTTGATGGGGAAACGAGCTGGTTTGCTGGAACTTTTTGATGGGGAAAGGTTTGCTGGAACTTTTTGATGGTTGCTGGAACTTTTTGATGGGGAAACGAGCTGATTTGCTGGAGCTTTTTGAGGGCGAAACGAGCTGGTTTGCTGGAACTTTTTGATGGGGAAACGAGCTGGTTTGCTGGAACTTTTTGATGGGGAAAGGTTTGCTGGAACTTTTTGATGGTTGCTGGAACTTTTTGATGGGGAAACGAGCTGATTTGCTGGAGCTTTTTGATGGCGAAACGAGCTGGTTTGCTGGAACTTTTTGATGGGGAAACGAGCTGGTTTGCTGGAACTTTTTGATGGGGAAAGGTTTGCTGGAACTTTTTGATGGTTGCTGGAACTTTTTGATGGGGAAACGAGCTGATTTGCTGGAGCTTTTTGATGGCGAAACGAGCTGGTTTGCTGGAACTGGTTTGCTGGATGGGGAAACGAGCTGGTTTGCTGGAACTTTTTGATGGGGAAACGAGCTGGTTTGCTGGAACTTTTTGAACTTTTTGGGGGAAACGAGCTGGTTTGCTGGATTTGCTGGAGCTTTTTGATGGGGAAACGAGCTGAACTTTTTGATGCTGGTTTGCTGGAACTTTTTGATGGGGAAACGAGCTGGTTTGCTGGAACTTTTTGATGGGGAAACGAGCTGGTTTGCTGGAACTTTTTGATGGGGAAACGAGCTGATTTGCTGGAGCTTTTTGATGGCGAAACGAGCTGGTTTGCTGGAACTTTTTGATGGGGAAACGAGCTGGTTTGCTGGAGCTTTTTGATGGGGAAAGGTTTGCTGGAACTTTTTGATGGTTGCTGGAACTTTTTGATGGGGAAACGAGCTGATTTGCTGGAACTTTTTGATGGGGAAACGAGCTGGTTTGCTGGAACTTTTTGATGGGGAAAGGTTTGCTGGAACTTTTTGATGGTTGCTGGAACTTTTTTGATGGGGAAACGAGCTGATTTGCTGGAGCTTTTTGATGGCGAAACGAGCTGGTTTGCTGGAACTTTTTGATGGGGAAAGGTTTGCTGGAACTTTTTGATGGTTGCTGGAACTTTTTGATGGGGAAACGAGCTGATTTGCTGGAGCTTTTTGATGGCGAAACGAGCTGGTTTGCTGGAACTTTTTGATGGGGAAACGAGCTGGTTTGCTGGCACTTTTTGATGGGGAAAGGTTTGCTGGAACTTTTTGATGGTTGCTGGAACTTTTTGATGGGGAAACGAGCTGATTTGCTGGAGCTTTTTGATGGCGAAACGAGCTGGTTTGCTTCTTGGAATATTTTTTACAGATGTGAACACACCTTTGAAGCGTATTTCTGTCAAAACAACACCGCAAGAGGCATTGGCAGGGTTGCGTTTCCAGAACGTAGTTGAACGTACCGAAATGGAGGCAAAAAGAGCGAATTTGCATCCAGTTCATTAATATACCGGGCCTATTGGGTTGGCATGATTTCCTGATAGGCATACGCAGACAACAAGCAAGACAAAGACAAGAAAAAACACAAAGGAAGAGTCCGCCCCACGTGGTGCAGCAGCGGCGCCTTTGGAATGATGAAATATGATATGGCTTTGTCCAGTTTTTGGCGGTTGAATCCCTGGAAGCCATGTCATCGCCCTCTACACCCCTGAAACGCAAACCCTAAACCAGCCTAAACCTGCACACAGCACTTGTAAAGACGTAAACGAATGTTTGTTCGTAGCCTTTGCCTCTGTGGAGCAATTGAAAACCATGCGACCATCACGCGTGTTCAAAAGCCAGCTTGGCGAACACAGTTAATCAACGCAGTTGGATGGCGCTGCTTCTTCATCCTAGACCTGTTTGCGAGCCCGCTGCGGTGAATTGGCAGCTCAACTTTCAAGACCAATGCTGGCCGCAACAGGAGCAGACCGTGCCAAGCTTTGGCCGAAAGTGTGAGGATGGCTTTGTGTGCGCTGTGTGCAAAGGTTTAAACATGTCAGCGGCGTTCAGGATCAAAGCCAACTCAATCTGAAAAAACACAGGATTTGCGACACAGATAATTTAACCTCCACATGATTCAATCTCTCTCACCCACGAAGCTCCAACTGCTTTCACTTGTCATGTTCGGGCACACGTAGAAGGCTCGGGCGGCCTGCGGCGGCGATCTTTGTCCCGTCCACTGGAAATCAGGAGCCCGTCGCACCCCGAGCTCAAACAAGCCTGACTTCTTGCTGCTGACTTGTGAACACGTCACACGCGCGTAGCAGTTCGTGCCCAATGAAAAATTATTCGACGCCAAGCGAGTCCAGACCGCAACAACGCCCAAGTCAAAGGAGGTGACAAGGCTCATAAGCGCTCAGAACAACAGAAAGTAAAATACTTATGCTCTCGAGTGCCTCCCAACGCTTCCAAAAGGCTCTCGGGCATGACTTGCGACCCATGACTGCCAGATAGCAGAGGCCTTGCAGGTCCTTTTTTGGCAACATGACACGCCTCAGATCTCAAACGTTTCGAAGTTTCAGCAGCAGCCCGTTGCTTCAGGCCTTCTCGACGTTTTGCTGCGAGAATTGCGGGCTGCGTTTCTTCCCCGATTTTTTCGCTTCAAATCACTTGAAAATGAGTTGGTGTGTCCGTTCCTGATTTTAACCCTATTTTCATGCTTGTATCAAGCTTTAGGAAAAGCCCAGCAAGGACCCGTGACTTTTGCCACGGAACTTTTTGATGGGGAAGCGAGCTGGTTTGCTGGAACTTTGGAACTTTTGCTGGAGCTGGTTTGCTGGAACTTTTTGATGGGAAAGGAGCTGGTTTGCTGGAACTTTTTGATGGGGAAGCGAGCTGGTTTGCTGTAACTTTTTGATGGGGAAAAGAGCTGGTTTGCTGGAACTTTTGATGGGGAAACGAGCTGGTTTGCTGGAACTTTTTTGATGGGAAAACGAGCTGGTTTGCTGGAACTTTTTGATGGGGAAGCGAGCTGGTTTGCTGAATTTTTTTTTGATGGGGAAACGAGCTGGTTTGCTGGAACTTTTTGATGGGGAAACGAGCTGGTTTGCTGGAACTTTTTGATGGTGAAACGAGCTGGCTTGCTTTTTTGATGGGGAAACGAGCTGGTTTGCTGGAACTTTTTGATGGGGAAGCGAGCTGGTTTGCTGGAACTTTTTGATGGGGAAACGAGCTGGTTTGCTGGAACTTTTTGATGGGGAAACGAGCTGGTTTGCTGGAACTTTTTGATGGGGAAACGAGCTGGTTTGCTGGAACATTTTGATGGGGAAACGAGCTGGTTTGCTGGAACTTTTTGATGGGGAAACGAGCTGGTTTGCTGGAACTTTTTGATGATGGTGAAACGAGCTGGTTTGCTGGAACTTTTTGATGGACACCTTCAAGAGAGTTTCCATGTCAAGATGTTGCACAGAACGACAGGGCCCAAGGAAACCGTGAAGGGAATTTCCATGTCACGATGTTGCAACAGCACCACAGAACCCACGGACACCTTGAAGAGAAGTTGCATGTCATTATGTTGCCACAGAACGACAGAGGCCAACGACACCTTGAAGGGAAATTCCATGTCAAGATGTTGCAACAGAACGACAGAGCCCAAGGACACCTTGAAGGGATTTTCCATGTCAAGATGTTGCAACCGAACCACAGACCCACGAACACCTTGAAGGGAATTTCCATGTCAAGATGCTGCAACAGAACCACAGAGCCTACGGACACTTTGCAGAGAATTTCAGGGCTCCATGTCAAGATGTTGCAAGAGAACGGCAGAGCCCACGGACACGTTGAAGGGAATTTCCATGTCAAGCTGTTGCAACAGAAGCACAAAGCCCACGGACACCTTGAAGGGAAGTTCCATGTCAAGATATTGCAACAGAACGACAGAGCCCAAGGACACCTGGAAGAGAATTTCCCTGTCAAGATGTTGCAGGAGAACCACAGAGCCCACGGACACCTTGCAGGAAATTTCCATGTCAAGATGGTGCAACAGAACGACAGAGCCCACGGACACCTTAAAGGGAATTTCCATGTCAAGATGTTGCAACAGAACGACGGAGCCCAAGGACACCTTGAAGGGAAATGACATGTCAAGATGTTGCAACATAACCACAGAGTGCAGGGACACCTTGAAAGGAATTTGAATGTCAAGATGTTGCAACAGAACGACAGAGCCCACGGACCAGGAATTTCCATGTCGAGATGTTGCAACAAGGCGACAGAGCCCAAGGACACCTTGAAGGGAATCTCCATGTCAAGATGTTGCAACAGAACCACAGAGTGCAGGGACACCCTGAAGAGACTTTCCATGTCAAGATGTTGCAACCAACCACAGAGCCCACGGACACCATCAAGGGAACTTCCATGTCGTCAAGATGTTGCAACAGAACCACAGAGCCCACGGACGCCTTGAAGGGAATTTCCATGTCAAGATGTTGCAACAGAGCGACAGAGCCCACGGACATTTTGAAGGGAATTTCCACGTCAAGATGCTGCAACAGAACCACAGAGCCTACGGACACTGTGCAGAGAATTTCAGGGCAATGTCCATGTCAAGATGTTGCAAAAGAACAGCAGAGCCCACGGACACGTTGAAGGGAATTTCCATGTCAAGTTGTTGCAACAGAAGCACAAAGCCCACGGAGACCTTCAATAGAAAATCCATGTCAAGATGTTGACACAGAACGGCAGAGCCCAAGGACACCTTGAAGGGAATTTCCATGTCAAGATGTTGCAACAGAAGCACAAAGCCCACGGACACCTTGAAGGAAGTTCCATGTCAAGATGTTGCAACAGAACGACAGAGCCCAAGGACACCTGGAAGAGAATTTCCATGTCAAGATGTTGCAACAGCACGACGGAGCCCAAGGACACCTTGAAGGGAATATCCGTCTCAAGATGTTGCAACAGAACGGCAGAGTGCAACGACACCTTGAAAGGAACTTCCATGTCAAGATGTTGCAACATAACCACAGAGCGCAGGGACACCTTGAAAGGAATTTGAATGTCAAGATGTTGCAACAGAACGACAGAGCCCGCGGGCACCTTGAAAGGAACTTCCATGTCAAGATGTTGCAACAGAGCGACAGAGCCCACGGACACCTTGAAGGGAATTTCCATGTCAAGATGTTGCAACAGAACGACAGAGCCCCCCGACACCTTGAAGGGAATCTTCATGGCAAGATGTTGCAACAGAACCACAGAGCCCACAGACCAGGAATTTCCATGTCGAGATGTTGCAACAAAACGACAGAGCTTGAAGAGAATTTCCATGTCCAGATGTTGCAACAGAACGACAGAGCCCAAGGACACCTTGAAGGGGCCTTCAAGATGTTGCAAGAGAACGGCAGAGCCCACGGACACGTTGAAGGGAATTTCCATGTCAAGATGTTGCAACAGAATCACAGAACCCGCGGGCACCTTGAAGGGAATTTCCAGAAGCATAGAGCCCACGCACACCTGGAAGGGAATTTCTATGTCAAGATGTTGCAACAGAACCACAGAGCACTCACATCTTGAAGGGAATTTCCATGTCAAGATGCTGCAACAGAACGAAGCCCACGGACACCATGAAGGGAATTTACATGTCAAGATGTCGCAACGGAACGACAGAGCCCGAGGAAGCCTTGAAGGGAATTTCCATGTCAAGATGTGGAAAGTCAACGAACAAGGCCCAAGGAATCCTTGAGGGGAATTTCATGTCAAGATGTTGCAACAAAACGAAAGGAAGCCTTGACAACAGAACGACGGAGCCCACGGACACCTTGAAGGCAATCTCCATGTCAAGATGTTGCAAACGAACCACAGAGCCCACGGACGAAGGGAATGTCCATGTCAAGATGTTGGAACAGAAGCACAGAGCCCACGGACACCTTCAAGGGAATTTCCATGTCAAGCTGTTGCAACAGAGCGACGAAGCCCACGGAAACCTTGAAGGGAATTTCCATGCCAAGATGTTGCAACAGAACCACAGAGCCCACGGATGCCTTGAAGAGAAGTTCCATGTCAAGATCTTGCAACAGAACCACAGAGCCCTCGGACACCTTGAAGGGAATTTCCATGTCAAGATGTTGCAACAGAACGACAGAGCCCGCGGACACCTTGAAGGGAATTTCCATGTCAAGATGTTGCAACAGAACCACAGAGCCCACGGACACCTTGAAAGGAATTTCCATGTCAAGATGCTGCAACAGAACGACAGAGACCAAGGACACCTTGAAGGGAATTTCCATGTCAAAATGTTGCAACAGAACCACAGAGCCCACGGACACCTTGAAGGGAATTTCCATGTCAAGATGGTGCAACAGAATGACAGAGCCCACGGACACCTTGAAGGGAGCTTCCATGTCAAGATGTTGCAACAGAACGACAGAGCCCAACGACACCTTGAAGGGAATTTCCATGTCAAGATGGTGCAACAGAACGACAGAGCCCACGGACACATTGAAGGGAATTTCCATGTCAAGATGTTGCAACAGAACGACAGAGCCCCCCGACACCTTGAAGGGAATCTTCATGGCAAGATGTTGCAACAGAACCACAGAGCCCACAGACCAGGAATTTCCATGTCGAGATGTTGCAACAAAACGGCAGAGTTCAACGACACCTTGAAGGGATTTTCCATGTCAATATGTTGCAACAGAACCACAGAGCCCACGGACCAGGAATTTCCATGTCGAGATGTTGCAACAGGGCGACAGAGCCCAAGGACACCTTGAAGAGAATTTCCATCTCAAGATGTTGCAAGAGAACCACAGAGCCCACGGACACCCTGACGAGACTTTGCATGTCAAGATGTTGCAACCAACCACAGAGCCCACGGACACCATCAAGGGAACTTCCATGTCAAGATGTTGCAACAGAACCACAGAGCCCACGGACGCCTTGAAGGGAATTTCCATGTCAAGCTGTTGCAACAGAACGGCAGAGCCTTCGGACATCTTGAAGGGAGATTGCATGTCAAGATGTTGCAACAGAACGACAGTGCCCAAGGACACCTTGAAGGGAATATCCATCTCAAGATGTTGCAACAGAACGGCAGAGCCTACGGACATCTTGAAGGTAAATTGCATGTCAAGATGTTGCAACAGAACGACAGTGCCCAAGGACACCTTGAAGGGAATTTCCATGTCAAGATGTTGCACAGAACGACAGGGCCCAAGGAAACCGTGAAGGGAATTTCCATGTCACGATGTTGCAACAGCACCACAGAACCCACGGACACCTTGAAGAGAAGTTGCATGTCAATATGTTGCCACAGAACGACAGAGGCCAACGACACCTTGAAGGGATTTTCCATGTCAAGATGTTGCAACAGAACCACAGAGCCCACGGACCAGGAATTTCCATGTCGAGATGTTGCAACAAGGCGACAGAGCCCAAGGACACCTTGAAGAGAATTTCCATCTCAAGATGTTGCAACAGAACCACAGAGCCCACGGACACCCTGACGAGACTTTCCATGTCAAGATGTTGCAACCAACCACAGAGCTCACGGACACCATCAAGGGAACTTCCATGTCAAGATGTTGCAACAGAACCACAGAGCCCACGGGACGCCTTGAAGGGAATTTCCATGTCAAGATGTTGCAACAGAGCGACAGAGCCCACGGACACCTTGAAGGGAATTTCCATGTCAAGATGTTGCAACAGAGCGACAGAGCCCACGGACACCTTGAAGGGAATTTGCATGCCAAGATGTTGCAACAGAACCACAGAGCCCACGGACGCCTTGAAGGGAATTTCCATGTCAAGCTGTTGCAACAGAACGGCAGAGCCTTCGGACATCTTGAAGGGAGATTGCATGTCAAGATGTTGCAACAGAACGACAGAGCCCAAGGACACCTTGAAGGGAATATCCATCTCAAGATGTTGCAACAGAACGGCAGAGCCTACGGACATCTTGAAGGGAAATTGCATGTCAAGATGTTGCAACAGAACGACAGTGCCCAAGGACACCTTGAAGGGAATTTCCATGTCAAGATCTTACACAGAACGACAGGGCCCAAGGAAACCTTGAAGGGAATTTCCATGTCACGATGTTGCAACAGCACCACAGAACCCACGGACACCTTGAAGAGAAGTTGCATGTCAATATGTTGCCACAGAACGACAGAGGCCAACGACACCTTGAAGGGAACTTCCATGTCAAGATGTTGCAACAGAACGACAGAGCCCAAGGACACCTTGAAGGGAATTTCCCTGTCAAGATGTTGCAACCGAACCACAGAGCCCACGGACACCTTGAAGGGAATTTCCATGTCAAGATGCTGCAACAGAACCACAGAGCCTACGGACACTTCGCAGAGAATTTCAGGGCTCCATGTCAAGATGTTGCAAGAGAACGGCAGAGCCCACGGACACGTTGAAGGGAATTTCCATGTCAAGCTGTTGCAACAGAAGCACAAAGCCCACGGACACCTTGAAGGGAAGTTCCATGTCAAGATATTGCAACAGAACGACAGAGCCCAAGGACACCTGGAAGAGAATTTCCCTGTCAAGATGTTGCAGGAGAACCACAGAGCCCACGGACACCTTGCAGGAAATTTCCATGTCAAGATGGTGCAACAGAACGACAGAGCCCACGGACACCTTAAAGGGAATTTCCATGTCAAGATGTTGCAACAGAACCACAGAGCCCACGGACACCTTGAAGGGAATTTCAATGTCAACATGGTGCAACAGCACGACAGAGCCCACGGACACCTTAAAGGGAATTTCCATGTCAATTTGTTGCAACAGAACGTTGGAGCCCAAGGACACCTTGAAGGGAAATGACATGTCAAGATGTTGCAACAGAACGGCAGAGTGCAACGACACCTTGAAAGGAACTTCCATGTCAAGATGTTGCAACATAACCACAGAGCGCAGGGACACCTTGAAAGGAATTTGAATGTCAAGATGTTGCAACAGAACGACAGAGCCCGCGGACACCTTGAAGGGAATTTCCATGTCAAGATGTTTCAACACAGCAACAGAGCGACAGAGCCCACGGACACCTTGAAGAGACTTTCCATGTCAAGATGCTGTGACAGAACGACAGAGCACAAGAACACCTCCAAGGGAATTTCCATCTCAAGATGTTGCAACAGAACGGCACAGCCTTCGGACATCTTGAAGGGAAATTGCATGTCAACATGTTGCAACAGAACGACAGTGCCCAAGGACACCTTGAAGAGAATATCCATCTCAAGATGTTGCAACAGAACGACAGTGCCCAAGGACACCTTCAAGAGAATTTCCATGTCAAGATGTTGCACAGAACGACAGGGCCCAAGGAAACCTTGAAGGGAATTTGCATGTCAAGATGTTGGAACAGAATTACAGAGCCCACGGACACCTTGAAGGCAAATTGCATGTCAATATGTTGCCACAGAATGACAGAGGCCAACGACACCTTGAAGGGAACTTCCATGTCAAGATGTTGCAACAGAACGACAGAGGCCACGACACCTTGAAGGGAATTTCCCTGCCAAGATGTTGCAACCGAACCACAGAGCCCACGGACACCTTGAAGGGAATTTCCACGTCAAGATGCTGCAACAGAACCACAGAGCCTACGGACACTGTGCAGAGAATTTCAGGGCAATTTCCATGTCAAGATGTTGCAAAAGAACGGCAGAGCCCACGGACACGTTGAAGGGAATTTCCATGTCAAGTTGTTGCAACAGAAGCACAAAGCCCACGGAGACCTTCAATAGAAAGTCCATGTCAAGATGTTGCAACAGATGTTGCAACAGAGCCACAGAGCCCTGGGACACCTTGAAGGGAAATTGCACGTCAAGATGTTGCAACAGAACGGCAGAGTGCAACGACACCTTGAAAGGAACTTCCATGTCAAGATGTTGCAACATAACCACAGAGACACCTTGAAAGGAATTTGAATGTCAAGATGTTGCAACAGAACGACAGAGCCCGCGGGCACCTTGAAAGGAACTTCCATGTCAAGATGTTGCAACAGAGCGACAGAGCCCACGGACACCTTGAAGGGAATTTCCATGTCAAGATGTTGCAACAGAACGACAGAGCCCCCCGACACCTTGAAGGGAATCTTCATGGCAAGATGTTGCAACAGAACCACAGAGCCCACAGACCAGGAATTTCCATGTCGAGATGTTGCAACAAAACGACAGAGCTTGAAGAGAATTTCCATGTCAAGATGTTGCAACAGAACGACAGAGCCCAAGGACACCTTGAAGGGAAGTTCCATGTCAAGATGTTGCAACAGAACCACAGAGCCCACGGACACCTTGAAGGGAACTTCCAGGTCAAGATGTTGCAACAGAACCACAGAACCCGCGGGCACGTTGAAGGGAGTTTCCATGTCAAGATGTTGCAACAGCAGCATAGAGCCCACGCACACCTGGAAGGGAATTTCTATGTCAAGATGTTTGGTGTCTGCTGACCCAGTTACGTGGCCCCTGAGCCAGTTTGGTGTCTGCTGACAGTTACGTGGCCCTGACCCAGCCAGTTTGGTGTCTGCTGACCATGTAACTGTGACAGCAGACACCAAACTGGGTCAGGGGCCACGTAACTGGGTCAGCAGACACCAAACAGGGGCCACGAAACTGGGTCAGCAGACACCAAACTGGATCAGGGGCCACGTAACTGGGTCAGCAGACACCAAACTGGGTCAGGGGCCACGTAACTGGGTCAGCAGACACCAAATTGGGTCAGGGGCCACGTAACTGGGTCAGCAGACACCAAACTGGGTCAGGGGCCACATAACTGCAGCAGACACCAAACTGGGTCAGGGGCCACGTAACTGGGTAAGCAGATCTGCTGACCCAGTTTTACGTGGCCACTGACCCAGTTTGGTGTCTGCTGACCGAGTTTGGTGTCTGCTGACCCAGTTACGTGGCCACTGACCCAGTTTAATGTCTGCTGACCCAGTTTCGCGGCGCCTGACCCAGTTGCGTGGCCCCTGAACCAGTTTGGTGTCTGCTGAACCAGTTACGTGGGCCCTGACCCAGTTTAGTGTCTGGACCCAGTTACGTGGCCCTGACCCAGCCAGTTTGGTGTCTGCTGACCACGTAACTGGGTCAGCAGGCACCAAACTGGGTCAGGGGCCACGGAATTGGGTTAGTAGAAATCAAACAAAACCACGTAACTGGGTCAGCAGACACCAGGGGCCACGTAACTGCGTCACCAGACACCAAACTGGGTCAGGGGCCACGTAACTGGGTCAGCAGACACCAAACTCGGTCAGGGGCCACGTAACTGGGTCAGCAGACACCAAATTGGATCGTGAAACTGGGTCACCAAACACCAACCTGGGTCAGGAGCCACGTAACTGGGTCAGCAGACACCAAACTGGGTCAGGGGCCACGTAAATGGGTCAGCAGACACCAAACTGGGTCAGGAGCCACGTAACTGGGTCAGCAGACACCAAACTGGGTCAGGCGCCACGAAACTGGGTCAGCAGACATTAAACTGGGTCAGGGGCCACATAACTGGGTCAGCAGACACCAAACTGCGTCAGGGGCCACGTAACTGGGTCAGCAGACACCAAACTGGGTCAGGGGCCACGTGAAACTGCAGGTCAGCAGACACCAAACTGGGTCAGGAGCCACGCAACTGGGTCAGTAGACACCAAACTGGGTCAGGGCCACACTGTGTCAGCAGACACCAAACTGGGTCAGGCGCCACGAAACCTCGTCAGCAGACATTAAACTGGGTCAGGGGCCACATAACTGGGTCAGCAGACACCAAACTGCGTCAGGGGCCACGTAACTGGGTCAGACACCAAACTGGGTCAGGAGCGAGGTAACTGGGTCAGCAGACAGCAGACATTAAACTGGGTTATTGCGCAAGGTCCGCTTGGATCCAGGGTCTCCGAAAAAGTCCGAAAAGGTACCCCTGGAGCATTGTTGCGCAAGGTCCGCTTGGATCTATAGGGTCTCCGAAAAGGTACCCCTGGAGCACTGTTGCGAAAGGTCCGCTTGGATCTATGGAGCACTGTTGCGCAAGGTCCGCTTGGCTCCAGGGTCTCCGAAAAAGTCCGAAAAAGTACCCCTGGAGCATTGTTGCGCAAGGTCCGCTTGGATCCAGGGTCTCCGGAAAAGGTCCGAAAAGATACCCCTGGAGCATTGTTGCGCAAGGTCCGCTTGGATCCAGGTCTCCGAAAAGGTCCGAAAAGGCACCCCTGAAGCATTGTTGCGCAAGGTCCGCTTGGATCCAGAGTCTCCGAAAAGGTCCGAAAAGGAACCCCTGGAACCAAGCGGACCTTACGCAACAATGCTCCAGGGCTACCTTTTCGGACCTTTCTCGGAGACCCTGGATCCAAGCGGACCTTGCGCAACAGTGCTCCAGGGGTACCGTTTCGGACCTTTTCGGAGACCCTGGATCCAAGCGGCGCAACAATGCTCCAGGGGTACCTTTTCGGACCTTTTCGGAGACCCTGGATTGAAGCGGACCTTGCGCAACAATGCTCCAGGGTTACTTTTTCGGACCATTTTCGGAGACCCTGGATCCAAGCGGACCTTGCGCGACAATGCTCCAGGGGTACCTTTTCGGACCTTTTCGGAGACCCTGGATCCAAGCGGACCTTGCGCAACAATGCTCCAGGGGTACCTTTTCGGACCTTTTCGGAGACCCTGGATCCAAGCGGACCTTGCGCAACAATGCTCCAGGGGTACCTTTTCAGACCTTTTCGGAGACCCTGGATTGAAGCTGACCTTGCGCAATAATGCTCCAGGAATATTTTTTCGGACCTTTTTGGAGACCCTGGATCCAAGCGGACCTTGCGCAACAACGCTCCAGGGGTACCTTTTCGGACCTTTTCGGAGACCCTGGATCCAAGCGGACCTTGCGCAACAATGCTCCAGCGGTATTTTGGACCTTTTCGGAGACCCTGGATCCAAGCGGACCTTGCGCAACAATGCTCCAGGGGTACCTTTTCGGACCTTTTCGGAGCCAAGCGGACCTTGCGCAACAATGCTCCACAGGGGTACCTTTCCGGACATTTTCGGAGACCCTGGATCCAAGCGGACCTTGCGCAACAATGCTGCAGGGGTACTTTTTCGGACTTTTCGGAGACCTGGATCCAAGCGGACCTTGCGCAACAATGCTTCAGGGGTACCTTTTCGGACCATGTCGGAGACCCTGGATCCAAGCGGACCTTGCGCAACAATGCTCCAGGGGTACCTTTTCGGACCTTTTAATCGGAGACCGTGGATTCAAGCGGACCTTGCGCAACAATGCTCCAGCGGTACCTTTTCGGACCTTTTCTCAGACCCTGGATCCAAGCGGACCTTGTGCGAGAACCTGGATCCAAGCGGACCTTGCGCAACAATGCTCCAGGAATACCTTTTAGGACCTTTTCGGAGACCCTGGATCCAAGCGGACCTTGCACAACAATGCTCCAGGGGTACCTTTTCGGACCTTTTCGGAGACCCTGGATCCAAGCGGACCTTGCGCAACAATGCTCCAGGGGTACCTTTTCGGACCTTTTTCGGAGACCCTGGATCCAAGCGGACCTTGCGCAACAATGCATCCAAGCAGACCTTGCGCAACAATGCTCCAGGCCTTGTCGGACCTTTTCGGAGACCCTGGATCCAAGCGGACCTTGCGCAACAATGCTGCAGGGGTACCTTTTCGGACCTCTTTCGGAGACCCTGGATCCAAGCAGACCTTGCGCAACAATGCTCCAGGGGTACCTTTTCGAGGACCCTGGATCCAGGGGTACTTTTTCGGACTTTTCGGAGACCTGGATCCAAGCGGACCTTGCGCAACAATGCTTCAGGGGTACCTTTTCGGACCATTTCGGAGACCCTGGATCCAAGCGGACCTTGCGCAACAATGCTCCAGGGGTACCTTTTCGGACCTTTTAATCGGAGACCGTGGATTCAAGCGGACCTTGCGCAACAATGCTCCAGCGGTACCTTTTCGGACCTTTTCTCAGACCCTGGATCCAAGCGGACCTTGTGCAACAATGCTCCAGGGGTACCTTTTCGGACCTTTTCGGAGACCCTGGATCCAAGCGGACCTTGCGCAACAATGCTCCAGGGGTACCTTTTCGGACCTTTTCGGAGACCCTGGATCCAAGCGGACCTTGCGCAAAAATGCTCCAGGGGTACCTTTTCGGACCTTTTCGGAGACCGTGGATCCAAGCGGACCTTGCGCAACAATGCTCCAGGGGTACCTTTTCGGAGCTTTCCGGAGACCCTGGATCCAAGCGGACCTTGCGCAACAATGCTCCAGGGGTAGTTTTTCGGACCTTTTTCGGAGACCCTGGATCCAAGCGGACCTTGCGCAACAATGCTCCAGGGGTACCTTTTCGGAGAGCCTGGATCCAAGCGGACCTTGCGCAACAATGTTCCAGGAATACCATTTCGGACCTTTTCGGAGACCCTGGATCCAAGCGGACCTTGCGCAACAATGCTCCAGGGGTACCTTTTCGGACCTTTTCGGAGACCCTGGATCCAAGCGGACCTTGCGCAACAATGCTCCAGGGGTACCTTTCGGACCTTTTCGGAGACCCTGGATCCAAGCGGACCTTGCGCAACAATGCTCCAAGGGGTACCTTTTCGGACCTTTTCGGAGACCCTGGATCCAAGCGGACCTTGCGCAACAATGCTCCAGGGGTACCTTTTCGGACCCTGGATCCAAGCGGACCTTGCGCAACAATGCTCCAGGGGTCCTTTTCGGACCTTTTTGGAGACCCTGGATCCTCGCGGACCTTGCGCAACAACAATGCTTTAGGGGTACCTTTTCGGACCTTTTCGGAGACCCTGGATCCAAGCGGACCTTGCACAACAATGCTCCAGGGGTTACCTTTTCGGACCTTTTTGGAGAGCCTGGATCCAAGCGGACCTTGCGCAACAAATGCTCCAGGGGTACCTTTTCGGACCTTTTCGGAGACCCTGGATCCAAGCGGACCTTGCGCAACAATGCTCGCGGGGCACCTTTTCGGAGACCCTGGATCCAAGCGGACCTTGCGCAACAATGCTGCAGGGGTACCTTTTCGGACCTTTTCGGAAAGCCTGGATCCAAGCGGACCTTGCGCAACAATGCTCCAGGGGTACCTTTTCGGGACCCTGGATCCAAGCGGACCTTGCGCAACAATGCTCCAGGGGTACCTTTGCGGACCTTTTCGGAAACCCTGGATCTCGGAAACCCTGGATCCAAGCGAGGCGTGCCCCAAGCTCATTCCTACGGTAGGAACGAGGCGTGCCCCAAGCTCATTCCTACGGTAGGAACGAGGCGTGCCCCAAGCTCATTCCTACGGCAGGAACGAGGCGTGCCCCAAGCTCATTCGTACCGTAAGAGCGAGGCGTGCCCCAAGCTCATTCCTACGGTAGGAACGAGGCGTGCCCCAAGCTCATTCCTACGGTAGGAACGAGGCGTGCCCCAAGCTCATTC